TTGTCTTTCCTCGTGAAGCAATTCGAGCTCGTTTTAACCCTCTTCTCCTCTCGTTTCCATTTCCATTTCTTTTTTCTCCTTCCTTCCTGACCGATCTTCTTTTTTATATCGTCCAAACCTTCGCCCAACCGATCAGACGGTCGATCGGATCACGAGAGACCGGTTAATCATTCCGAAGGAACGTTATGGCTCGTGAGCGTGGCTGACAGATCGACAACGGAACTGTAACGTCATCATTGCGCCCGGGCTTGCTTTTTGTCTCCTGTGTAAACATCCGCCCCTACCGTGACCCGTGTCCTGGTCCAGGGATCAACGGGGATCCACGATGGATTCGAGGGCCGGCTACGAACGATCCTCGAGGTAGATCTGTCGGGGAGGACACGGATTTTGACGCGCTCTTACAGGGGTTCGTCACCGGGACGAGGATTAAGGTTATTCTTCGTCTTAGGGTGGTCCGACTCTGCGGGGATCTTGATGTGGTCGGTGTACTTTGGATTTCGAGGTGTAAGCTGTTTCTTAGCGGAGATTTAGCGATCGTAGAAAGACGATATCGCGTTCAATAATTCATGAATTAATTATGACAGACGAGACGCGTCGACAACCTCTTTGCTAATACTCTCTGTTCATCAAATATTAATGACGGCTCTCAGATACTCTGTTGCAAGTTTGAAATCTTGAAAGTTTCCAGTGATTTAATAGTCTTCGAGGTTTGTAAATGTTACTGGTTCTTGAAGAACATTTTGAAATGGCAATCAACGTGTTTTAAAGTCACCGTTTCGCTATCGATTCGACGAAGAATTACATAAAACATTATCGATAATAACATCGTTTATGGCGGCACGTACATATGTAGAAATCGCGGCATGAGAATTTCTCCGAACGACGCGACGTTTAGCGAACGAGCTACGTGACGGGAATCCATCATCCGAGTCGGGCCCCTCGTTCCAGGATAGCGTCGCGTCGGGCCCAAACGGACCGAAAAAACGCTCCCCACCGTTTTCTATACGCGCGTTGCGTGAGCCTGTACGCGTGTCGCTTTCAGTCGTGTCAGCTGTCAAACGCGTCGCTTCTACCGTGAAATTAATTGATCTACCTTCGGATAACGTCGCGCCACCAAGAATCCCGGTTTCGCCAGAAATTCAGCTTCCCTGTACGTCTTAGGAGGACCTTTAACCCTTCACTCATTTTGAGAAAGAAACCAAATACTGATCAAACTAATTAAAAAAAAAAAGAATTGGAGATTCCAGAAGTACAAGAGAAATTTACGATGAAAATTGCAATTATTCAGAATGTCAGTGAATCTAATAAACTAAATGAAATGCTTCGAAGAAGTTATCATCTCGATCTTCCGCAAACTCAGCACCAGAGGATTGGTCAACCAACAGAGACTTTCCATCGGTCTGGTCGCAGAGGATCGTCCACGTGACGCGAATCCATCATCCCTGACGGTCCCGAAATCAAACGGGGCCCCTGACGGACGCACCAGGATCAGGCCCCGGCGAGTGTCGGTTTCAAGACGCACGATTCCTGTCCTACACAAGGCGGCTGTCAGTTCGAGTCATGTCAAACGTCAAACGACTCTCGCCCGGCTCCCGAGATCTTGTCCGTCTCTGTCGCTCCCGCGGCTACCGTGGTCCCCGTGGCTGGATTCCATCGGGGGCCTCGGGACGAATTTCACCGGTGCGAGTACGTGGCAAAAAAGGTGCAGCCTCTTCTGGGTCGGCAACGCTCACCGATCTTCGTTCCACGAGAGCCGCGAAACGAATTCGCTCACCGACGACGTCGACGACGACGACTCAATCGAGAGACGGAGGATCCGCGAGGCCCGCGACGCGTATTAATTGCGGCCCACGGTGCGTGTAATTAGTTTCGTCGAACGATATTATCCGACGATGGGAGAGATCCACGAGCGATACCGAGAGTCGCGCGGACGCCGTGGGCCCTATAATTATTGATACGTGTAATTAAATACGCGCGATACGGATCGAACGGACTTAAGTTCGTGATCAATGCTTGATTGCTCACGGGGGCAACTCGGTACAAAGATAACTTTGATTTCATATTAAGTATAACACTAGCAAGTGAAAGTATTGATGTTGCAAAAATGCAATTATTAAATTAAGATGAAGAAATAATCTGGTTATACGATACATAACGAAGAATTCATAACTACCTTAATGGTATAATTATAGAAGATACGTGTACTTATATATCGTTTCTTAAGTGTGAAGCGACATGATACGGTACTACTATTTATTTATATTCCGGATAAAGTGAAATCCTAGCTATTCTGCATTTCATAAGCAGACTTGTTCCATGAAGTTACCACTTCGTCCACTTATCAACGAGCAACCAACACCTCGCGCGAGATCTCCCTTCTCTATCGTAAGAATCCTTTCAGTGAGTGACATTCCCTAATGAATGCAATTAGTTACTTGAATCAGTTGACCGTTCAAAGATACACAACTGGAGTCCGCGGCGCAATCTCGCGGCAACTTCCATTGAGACATCGGAAGTCTTAATTGCAAGCCGTACGAGTAACCCGAGCGAAGGGTGCACCCGGAGGGGGAGGGTGAGCGTCGAAAGAGTGGAAGATCTTCTTCATCGACGGGGCAAAGACGTTCGGGGCAATAGGCTCGTAAATCGTGGCAGGCCAATGAGACGTAGCGAGGGTACGGTCTCGAGCGCACGATTGGCGGCACCAGCCAAAGCATCCGGTTCCAACCGGCTTCTCCAATCCCGGCGTGGTGCCCTCCAAGCGATTACCTACGCAGCCTCGGCCCCGATCGCTCATGCTAATTTCATAACAACTACCCTTGCGCCAATGGGCGAGCCGAGCCTTAGAAAAGAGCGAAAACGACGCACGGCTGGCCGCGAGGGACCGAACGAGGAAATAAAAGAAGAACACGAACGGCCTAAACGAGCCTGGTCCACCTTCCATCCCGGTGAAGAGGCAACGAAAGCTTGGCCGTATCGTACGGCAACCGCGAGTACACGGGCGACTCGTAAAATGGAGAAGCCCGTCCGTAGGTGGTGGACGGTGGACGATGGCGGAGGGCGAGGTTGTTAGCGGGATACGGAAGGTTTAGGGTACGCGCGTTGTCATCGCGGCTGGAAGTCGTGACCGCTTAAAATTAACTCGCGTACCAAGGATTTATCGGGGCGAGCATAGCGCGACGCGGCGCGCCGCGGTGCACCGTCACGCGAGGTTATATCAGAGAGAAACGTTACTTACGGGTACCGACGTGCACGATCCAACTGGCGTGTTCCTCGCCAGCCACACTCTGTTCGACCATCACGTGCACGTTGCTTACGGAATCACCTCTTCCTCCTACCGTGTCACATTTACTAGGCTATCATGGCGAAAGAGGTCATTCGATCCTCGCCGCGAATATCAACGTGTTACAAACAAACAACCGGATGATAAAACGAGATCGATGATTCGCGATCGTGTACGAGACGAGGTGAAAAGGATCGAGCGAAGGGAAAAAAAATGGACGACTTCCGGGGCGACCAGAGTGGGCGACCCGATGAAATTAGCTAAAGAGAAACGTCGGGGATGGAGGTATTATCGACGGTTGGCCAGGCGAGAGGGAAAAGAGGCGGTGCCAGGCAATAATATTTCGCGTTCCGCAATTTTTTTGCCCGGCCATGGGTTCCATTCGGGGCTCATCGACGACTCGTGACGCGCCACTGGCTCTCCCGGTTCCGCCGTGGGTATTAATTCCGGGAGGGAAAGAGAGGTACGAACGGAAACAGAAGAAGGAACGAGCAGAGCGAACCGTGGAGAGGAACGAGACGAGGGAACAGGGAGAACAAAACGATGCAGAAGACCATCTATGAGATGAGAAAATAATAATAAAGTGGAAATGAGCGAGCCGGTCCATAAATTGCTCCGCTCCTTGTTAATGGTCTGGGGGCCCGAGGCGACCTCAGCTAAACGTGGCCCGGTCTGACCCGACTCTGTCCTCCCCTCCCCCTCTCTCTTTCTCTCTATCCCTTTCATTCTCGTTTCTTCATTCTTGTTCCCTCTTTATTTTTCTCTCGGTTCCCTCTTTCCTACGATCCTCGGGATCCGACCAAGAGGATCTGGTCCGACCCGTTCGAGGCGATCTTGGAAGGCTCATTTCTGTATTTAATGGACGTGCAGAGATGGCCACCGAGTCCCTGAGCTCCCGAGAGCCAGAAAAGAGGGACTTAAAAGGGTCCGGAGGACACAAAGGATCCACGTCGATACTCGGTACTGCCTGTGATTGGTGACCGGGCGTGGCTCGACCGACGGATATCCTGCTTCTCTTTAAACGCCGCTGCGTCCGAGGACATGTTTAAATTTTACCTTTTTTCCAGTCGAACGTACGAACTTAGGTTCGCGGAATGGGGATTATTATGTGACGGATAAGTCGTCACTTATTCCCTACCTTTTCTTTGATATTTTGTTTAACGAAAATTGGAAAGTTTCGAAGTTTTTAGTTACTAAGAACTAATGATATATGATTTTGGAAATAAATATTTGGAGCGGGTATGTAAGCAACCGCCGAACCAACTTTAGGATTTAAATCATTAAAAATAGTCTATAGAATTATTCTATCTGAAGAATTGAATAATGAACCCGATAAACTGAAGTATGCAAATGTAAAATTATAAAATTTATATGCAGAACTTTTATATGTTCTTTGTTTTTTGAATCAAGTCGTACTTGTTAATTTGCTCTGCAGAGGGCAGGAGCTACTGGAGATTACTCCATTGCCCTCTTGTAGAGTTTGCTGGAAACAACTTATGAATTCACATTGTAACTGAACACAATTTCTACATTACTTGCAGATAATACAGAAGAAAAATCTTAATACTTTTATAGAAATAAGAATTTACTTATAATTAATTAATTGTTCTTCGTTTCGGAAAAAATAAATGGTATATTTCACAAAAATGTGTAAGTGTTATATTACATTTGCATACTTTTTTACAAGATTTCGGTAAAAATCAAATATATGTTGACTAGCCTGTTTGCATTTATCCATCGTTTCGAAGAACTCCGCCTCCGTGAATTGACCCACAGTGTGACAGCATATGACGTCTTTGTTCATGCTATCGAATGCATAAGTGAACTCTGCTCTAGCATCCTAATTAAAAAATAATAAATTACGAATTCTTTTTTAAAATTTCGTATGTATATATATACTAATTTGCATACCTCTAATTGATTGTTGTTAGGATCTAATATAATGTTATCAGTATTTTCCTGTATCATGCAACAGACTGCTGCAATAGTGAATTTCATTGGAACTGCAGCGTTAATAAGCGCCAGGCAGGCTGCATTGATTATGCAAGCTAACAACTTAAGATTTATATAAATTAGGATCAAATTTAATCAATGTTTCAATAGAACTATATGAGGAACCATACCCCACCAGAATCCTCTACTTCTTGTATGTTGATACATATAGCTGTGGCTGGATGGAAGGTCACAATTATTGCAGCTTCGCAAGTTTCTTTTATATACATTTCTGTCATCCTATCATCCACCTCTTAAAAAATCAATTAAAGACTCAGATTATTATCCAATCAATAAGGTATTCTATTTTTGAATCAGATTATTGATACTTCAACTTACTAGCAGGTCCTTTTATAGGAGTATAAGATACCTCCACAAATGCTTTGTCATAGATCATTTTTTGAGGTTTTGGTTCCACTGGTCCATAAACACCAGCAACCACTGCAGTATCTCCTAAAATACAAACATTACTACCAAACAATAACATTTATAAAAAGTTAAGGTATATTTCTAGCAAATGGAGCATTTTTGTGTAAAATTTGCTGTAAACTTTCAAGAAAAATATATGGTTAAGTATGTTTTTCATAAACTTATGAACAGAAACAAATCACAGTCTAACTATATTAATTTTACAGAGATACATATGTACTTATTGTACAGACCCAGTGTAAAATACAACAATAAAAAATAAATAAACACCTCAATAATGTATCCAAAATCGGTGAACGATCCATTTCCTAGAAATGTTCTAAAGTTAATTTACCTTGCATTAACATTGCCGACCCATCCGGCATAGAAAGTTGATTTAATTCGCAATTTATGGGTCGCAATACGAATTCGTTTTCTTTAGCGTCTTCACTCATGATTGTTTTTCCTTTAATTTAAAACACGTGGTGTAACAATTTTGGCGGGAAACGAGTGTCACAGAGGTTAAACAGTTACGAACAACTAGCGTCGCTGAAAACTTTACCGACAGTCCCTAGAATAATCCCTAGAAACGAGAACACTCCTTTCTTCGTTTCTACTGAACAGATTGCAAAGAAATTTGGGGGACATGTTCAGGAGGCCCTAAAGAATGGCGTTCTGGTCCTTATTTTATCCAAATCGTCAAAAAGTTATCAAATATTGAAATTGGGGTCTGTCCACGGTCGGTGCCACGGTTAAGTATGTCCAAATAGAGACTACAGCGTTATTCTTTGGGTCGGAGAAAGTAAAACGAGCACTCAGAGGATGGTGTACAAAGCTTTCGTTTAGAAAAATAGTGAGAACTACGATTTCGTTAATTTTTCAGTCGCGAAAGACGTCAAAAAGGTAAAATAGATCACAAATTTAGTTCCTCGATTTTTCTGTAGGGCGCAGTTCATTCGTTTAGTATGCTCGACAACGCAATCATTCGCAGCTCGTGTATGAAATTAAATTGTGTATTAGGTATTAAAAATACAAAAAACAGAAGACAAAGTTGAAGAGAAGACCGGAATCACGACTGCTGACATCATTTCCATCATATCTTCAGAAATGTGTAAGCTGCAAATTTATACCCTATTTTGTCGATACAGATACGAATTAAAATAACATATTTCTCATTTATTCTGCTTTTATGGTGATAATTCATTAAATACCATTAATATCTTAGGTATTTTCCTATCTTTTTTCTTATTTCGGTGCTTTAAAGTGAAAAAAGTAATCTTGACCTTATTTCAATATGGCGTTCATAATTTTCAACGAATCTTTATGTTCTTTTAATGTTAAAGTTTCAAAGTTTCTACCGGTACCTGTGATTGGTCGCTCCATTATGGCGTCCTCTTATTTAGACCAATCAGATTCATCGTTAAAGGGTGCGTTCCGCGGAGTGTGGTGGAGAGTAACAGTTCTCTTCGAAGCTTCGTCTGTTTGGCACGTGTCTGCAACAGGTAAGACTAAATTATCTTCAAATCTTAAATTAAATTGCCGATCGGGTGTTAAAAGTACAAAAAGCTGAAAGAAACATCGAAGAGCAGTCTGAATTCTTGATCTTTGACATTAATTCTGCGTTTTCTTCAAAAATACGCGAGTTGAAAATTTTTGCTCTCGCCGCGAATGCACAATAAGAGTGGAACAGCAGAATCCGAATTATTTTCTCTTTTATATCGTTAAGTTCCTAAACATTATTGAATGTTTTTAGTACTGTGTTACACAATTTGCTGTTTTTAATTTAATAACGTTCGTTCTTGAGCATCGTAATATTATTCCTGTTTAGACCTGTTCGTGTACTTGCTTTGGTATCGGCCATTAGCGGAATATACCGAAGAATGCCGAAGCAGTGCCGACCGGTCTTCGGTGGAAAGGAAGGTCTCGCCATTTCCCTCGCGAATGTCGAAGTGATAAGACGTATTGAGAGCATCCTTCCGCATAAGTACTTAGAAGGTACGCATTGTATTTATTAAAATATTTTGCATCAATTATAGTTCGATCGTTTATTAATAATTTTATTATTGTTGATTAAATTTTATTTACATAAATTCGTATTCCTTTTTTGTTACAGATATTTGATGGATATTGAAAGGACGTCATGACAGCTGATATGGGTTTGAAATAGAATTTTATAAACATTTATTGTTTTAATTTATTCTAATCAATTATTAACGTTTATTATTACTTTTTTTTCATTGAGTCGTTGTTAATTGTAAGTATTTTTGATAATTAATTGGAACCAAGATACCAAGAAAGAAAAGATTAGAGACCTTTTTTTCTTTAATGAATTTATAAAAGAAGAATAATTAATTTTTCATTTTATTAAATAATTTCGACTAGTATTTTAATACATTTGTTTTAAATTAGAACAAAATTGAAATAATTCGTATTCTACTGCAAATGATTGCTTCTCATCTGCAATTATTAATTATTTTAAACAATCTACTTTTGTTAAATCGTAGTAATTATATTATAATATCCAGCTTTCGATGCAAGTTTAAATTAAAATAGAATTACGTTTTTAAATCACATGCTGTTGAAGCATGATTAATTATTGGACTTTGCTTATTGAAAAGAATTTGAACAATTTATAAATTACAACGTAATAGAATTTTCAATAGTCTTTAGTATGCTTACAATTTTAACAACAGAAATCCTCTACTTTAATAAAATAGTCTATTATATGTATTTAACAATGATTTTTTATCCTTGTAATATTCATTGGAATAATTATCAACAATTATTTAATACATTTCGTTATTACGATGTTATCTAGGATCCATATTCAACTCAAATAATATTCGTGTTCGTTGAAAATATTTCACGAACACTGATATTTCCATTTACACATAACAGTATTTCTTCAACGAATGCTTAATAGGAAGAATGTTTTGTTTTTTTTTTTTGTATATTTCCACCCAGCCCATCCCTGCTCACTAAGCTTTTCTTCCAGGAATTGTTGTGGCCGCGCGCAAGGCGGTCGGTAGAGTCAGTGTTTGCACGTACTTCCAATGTTTTGATTTTGACAAGGGTGAACTGGCCCTGAATAGAGTTGCGTTTGTACGATTAGGAATCACGCGATAGTAGAGTCAGTGTTTGCTACGTATTATAAAATATTTTCTAGAGTATCGCGGCTCTGCTTTTTCCTTTTTCATCGTGAAAGTAGAATCACTACAATTGTTCGCCGGAAATTATTCACGGTCGCGTTACTAGTATTTCATATCTATATTTTTATTTTTAATTTTTTTTTTTAATTGTTCGATATATCCGGTATTAGAGTCAGTGCACCACTGAAGAGGAGTCTTGGGCGTTGCTCCATGAGGAAAGAGTGTAAGTATCTTATTACTTTATTTAATTAATTTTAATTCAAGTAGAATAATTTACAATTTCAACACTTGATAGTTGAGAGTTATTTTTCATTGTTAATATTTGATAAAATCCAAATTTAGATATAATTTTATTACAATAAGAATCGATAATTTTCAAAATTAACCGTAATTCTTTTTTGTTTTGTTACAGATGAATTTTTTGATTTTGCCGAGATCCTGGATATCCTGATGATGGCTTTCTTCACGACTTCCGTCTTGGTACGTCACTTAATTGTTTTTTATTTAAATAGAATAATTTACAATTTCAATACTTGATAATTGAGAGTTCTTCTTAATTGCTATGGCTAATATTTTATAAAATTCAATTTCATATATAATTTTATTAGAATAAAAATTGATAATTTGCAAAATTAACCGTAATTCTTTTTTGTTTTGTTACAGATGAATTTTCTTCACGACTTCCCTACAAGGCAGCCTCCTACCTGGTGTTGTCCATCCTCCTACTTGACTGTCGGAAGAAGAGTATATCTGCGAACGGTGAGTCGCATGTTTTATGGTTCCTCTGGTGCCCAATCATGTCGTAGGACGAATGGTCCGAATCGACACGGGTTACCGGTTGTATACGTGGTTGACAAGCATAGTGACCATGGGTATGATTATACCCATGAGTAGTAACATTTTTATTGTTTCATTTCATTTAGTGTAGGCTAGGTCTTCTTGTACACCGCGTTTTAATATCATTTCAATTCCACATATTCCAATAGATATTTATGATACATGAATGCTCTTAAATGTTCTTAAATGTGGAATTAGAATATTTTAATACCGAAACAATTTTATTTAGTTTGTCTGTAATAGAGAAGTCAAATACTATCTGACTTAGTTATTGCGATGATTCAAAGCAATATAATATTGATAGTATTATGTAATATGTATACAGGATATACATATTAATGATGTTATTACATTGATTTAATTACATTTTGTACATTATAAATTCAAATATAATTTGAGAATTTTTTAAAATTTCATTCATTCAATAGCGAAGTTTAACTTATTTAAACGTTCATGGAAAAATGAACAATTTATGTAGAAGAAGACAATTCGTGACGGGTAGATTTCCAAGTCAGAGTGATCTATTTCAACACATTTTGCGTATTCTTGAAAAGTTACTCTGAGGAGGGAGTCGCCCGAGGATGTTTTAATTTCTTATTAATTTTCAGAATAAATTCTTTTTTCATTGTAAAGAATTCTTAATTCTGCTTTTAATAAAATATCAAATTCAATTTTGACATTAAATTCCTTTTTATTAGAGTTTTGCCTTTATTAAATTAGTGTTGCGAGAAATTTCCGACGCGAGAGTAAATATGACGATGCACTGACTAGTATTCGGTGGGAATCCTTTTGGTTTTTAAACTCAATCCTTTATATTATTTAATTAATCAAATTAGTTACAAGGATTCCGCGGCATAAGACCGTGAACACCATCTCTGGGAGATATACCCATGCATTACTAGGCCTTTGCAGGCGCAGCTTTAGAATACGGAACATATGAAAATATGTTACCATATTCTAAACTGCAGTCCTTTTGTCTATACTATGGGCGTCCGCAAATCTGATACCGTTGGATGCAACGTGTTGGACGGGCGGGTAGCGCTCTTAGCGAAGGGGTGCACTCTGTCCTGGCGTTACGACGTCCAGGCGGGGTGGGTGGTATGTAGCGTCTGGCGTAAGTCTAGGGGGCGTGAGACCCTTCGTTGCCAGCTGATATTAGCAGTGCACCATGTTTGCGTCATAGTTGCTCAATTTTACTTTTCAGTATTTGTTCTTAAAGCTTTATATTTACAAAGTCGAGTCACTTTTATTAAAATAGTGAAATATTAGCCCGTTAGATGTTTATGTACTAATCATGTTTGTAGATCAGGATTTTCAGGTTTAACCCCTTCCGTGTTTATTGCCAAAGCCCATTCACGTGCCCAGGTGCTACTTGGATGGGTAGAGGCAATGGGCACGATGACCTAGTTCATAAGAATAATAATTAATAAGCGGCTGGCATTGTGTTAGTATATCGTGCACGACGTAATTTCCACATATGGTGTGTGTGTTTTTAGGCTGTGGGATTGCGTCGGTTTAATAACTTTTTCATTTAACTTTTAATTTGAAATAATATTTTATTCAACAAGATGTACAATGAACGTACAAACCAAATAGTATTATTACCATTACTATTACTATATTGCCATTACTATTACCATGATTATTACCATTATTATGAAATATTCTATATCAAAGTAGTTAATTAAATTTTGTAATTATCATTATACGCAATGATTGCTAGCCTTGCCAGACGATTTCAGTGAAAAATGGTACGTACCGTAGAGTGTGATGTGAGATGAAACTCGGGTGACGGAGGCGTCCCGGGACGTTCTCCCTAGTTTAGGCTCTTGCGCCCGGGTGGAGTGTATGGGGGTCGTGGAATGAATTTTTGTGAGAATGTGATTTTGCCTTTTTTAAATATAGGGTTAGGTAGGTAGGTAGTATACCTTCTGGTGTGTGTGATAGATTGTAAGTAGGTAGGGCCGGGACAGGTTGTCACAGTCTCTTGGTCGGGTAGGCGCGATTTCGCGTGATCAACCTGTACCTGGAATATATTTGAAGAATTGACGATCCAATCGATACGAACGGAGTATGCCGTTCGCTTTCGATTCTATCTGTACAATTTTTCAAATTTTTGGCGACTTCATAAGTCGTCATACGCGATCGCGATAGCACGACACGCACAAGTTCTGCTCGAGCACGGCACGTGTGCACGAACAACGACTTATATAAAGTCCTTTTTCGTCCACGTGTCAATTAGAGTTTCGCGATTTTTCTTTTTTGTTGATTGTTTTTTTTTTATTTTGCGAATTTGCAAGTCTCGAGCTTTAGATATAAGTTTCAGGTGGGTGGACCGCCCGAAGAAAGAAGTGGCTATATGCCGAAGCGCCCCGACAAACTGTCTTTCAAGAGGGGAACTACTAATGATTTTGCATCCTTTTGCAAAAAAGGATGGGAAATCATTATCGTTACTACTTTGTCACTGTGCTTGTCTGTAGTTGTAGTTTTGTAATTGCAGGAGAAGAGGGGGCCCGTGACCCCCATGGTTTTGGGCAAATCGCGTTTTCAATTTAGTGTTACGAATATTGACCACGGTTCAATTTAGTGTAGCGAATGAATATCGATCACGGTTCAATTTAATGTTGCGTATGCATGATTATCGTGATTTTCATTTAGTGTTGCAAACTTTAAATATCGCGTTTCTTTTTTGCATTGCTTTAAAATAGAATTTAACTTTTCAATGTTGATTGCTTTAAGATTTTTGAGAGTTTTGCTTTTTAATGTTGATTGCTTTCGTGTTGCGAGTAAAAAATTCACGGTTTGAGAATCCCCCTTTTTTGCATTTTAATTGTATGTCTCTTAAAGATAGCGTTGCGAATGACATTAGCGCGATTGTTTCCCAGTGTTGCGACTTATAAATACGCGATTGCTTTGCATTAGTTTATAGAGTTCCCTGCTAATTAGTGTTGCGGTAATGAATATTCGCGTTTTGCATTAGAGTTGCGATATATGATGAAATGCCCAAAAACCATCCACTGGAGTTGCCATGGTCCATAAGGCAGCTATGGACCAGCTGCCGTGATACAGCCTTGGATTGGTTGTACCCCTTTTTTAGATTAGTGTTGCGTCTTACAAAATTCGGTAGATTTAAGTAGTGTTGCGTTACAGTTCGCGTTTTCTCTTTTTTTCTTTTTTTCAGCTTAGTGTTGCGCATAATGGAGCAGCCTTCACGCGTACGCTTTTGTACATATTATATAATTAATGAAATTAGTGTTGCGAGTAAAAAATTCACGGTTTGAGAATCCCCCTTTTCTGCATTTTAATTGCATGTCTGTTAAAGATAGCGTTGCGAATGACATCAGCGCGATTGTTTCCCAGTGTTGCGACTTATAAATACGCGATTGCTTTGCATTAGTTTATAGAGTTCCCTGCTAATTAGTGTTGCGGTAATGAATATTCGCGTTTTGCATTAGAAATGCCCAAAAACCATCCACTGGAGTTGCCATGGTCCATAAGGCAGCTATGGACCAGCTGCCGTGGTACAGCCGTGGATTGGCTGTACCCCTCTTTTAGATTAGTGTTGCGTCTTACAAAATTCGGTAGATTTGAGTAGTGTTGCGTTACAGTTCGCGTTTTTTCTTTTTTTCTTTTTTTCAGCTTAGCGTTGCGCATAATGGAGCAGCCTTCACGCGTACGCTTTTGTACATATTATATAATTAATGAAATTAGTGTTGCGACTGAATTCGCGATTGTTATTAAATTAGTGGAAGTAACTATGACTCACATTCGGTGGGAGTCCATTGCTAGTCAAGGATTCCGCGGCCTAAGACCGTGAACACCATCTCTGGGAGATATACCCATGCATTACTAGGCCTTTGCAGGCGCAGCTTTAGAATACGGAACATATGAAAATATGTTACCATATTCTAAACTGTAGTCCTTTTGTCTATACTATGGGCGTCCGTCAATCTGACACCGTTGGATGCAACGTGTTGGACGGGCGGGTAGCGCTCTTAGCGAAGGGGTGCACTCTGTCCTGGCGTTACGACGTCCAGGCGGGGTGGGTGGTATGTAGCGTCTGGCGTAAGTCTAGGGGGCGTGAAACCCTTCGTTGCCAGCCGATGTTTTGTCATAGTTCAGAATGTTTGCAATTTTGAAATTAGTGTTGCGTGTGATTTCGGTTTGTTTTATAGGGTTTGCTCAGGGATTGCTCTTATGGGCAGTCAAACTTTTCTTTTCAGGTTCCCCTGTACCCTCCCTCCCACTGCCCCGCCCTCATTCTTTTTTCTTCCCTTTTTTAAATTTTGAAAATTTTGAGCATTCGGTTATAGGAAATACTGTTAAATATTATATGAATTTAATATTTTCAGAATATTATTAAATACGATAAAGTTTTAAATAGATCTTTATTCAAAGTTTTATTTAAAATGGATGTTCAATTTATTTTGTGATGATTGGTGATAAATTATTTCAAGGAATATTTGTTCATTTGAGATAGCTTATTAAATTTTAATTTTACTTTATTTAAACGAAAGTAGTGGATAATTGTTGTTCGAGTTGTTCAGTTTTAAGTTTCAATCGTGGTGTTTCGTTTCAAGCTTCGGAGAAGCTAATTAAAGTACTTTTATGAAGTTTCAAATTCTTTTCCTGAAAAGCAAAGGCCACTCGTGATTTTCTTTTCAGTTTTTCCATTTACAATAAATTTGCATTGAAAGGTGTATTGAATAATATAATGCAATAAAGTCAAGTAGAGTCTTGGTTGTATATACGTATATTGCAGTAAAAGATAGTTGTTTCAATTAAGTATCGTGTACTGTTTGTTAACAAATGAACGAATATTAGATACTATAAAGTGAAAAATAATTAATCCTTTTAAATCAAATCACTTATTCTGTGACGATATATTTTTCTAAATCTTTTTTTTTTCTTTATTTTGGTACTGAAATTGAATTGATGTTCCTTCTTTTCATTGGAAATGAATCATTAACAATGACTCTGATTTTTGTGAAATTTTGTGCGTACTAATGCATCTTCTTTCTAGCTATTAAACTTTTTGTCTTGATATGGATTCAATTAATAAGTTTCTGTTGCAGAGAAATATCTCAGGACGTATTTTGGTAATTAATCCTTTTTAGTTTGTTTCAAGAAGTATTCTGGTATTAAGGTAATACGAGTCTTATTATTTTTAAAAATTGTATCTAATCCCTTTTAGTCTGTTTCAAAAAGTATTCTAGTATTAAGGTAATACGAGTCTTATTATTTTTGCAAATTGTATCTAATCTTTCGTAGTTTGTTTCAGGAAGTATTCTGGTGAGGACAACAAGATCAACAAATACATCGTATTTATTTATTTATGTATATCCCTTTAAATTTTGATATAAACACGTTGTAAGTTTATGGTTTTGTAGAATGAATATAATCGTCAAACACTGCAGTGTTTAATTAGGAAGCGTTAGATTTAAGCGAATTTTTAATATAATTACGAACGGTGGTATAGTTAGGTATTCTTAGTAATATAAGTATGTAGGACAAATATGCAATTGCATATTTATTAATTACAGATCTGTAATCAAAATCAAAAGTAAAAAATGTTGCGATAGGAATAAAAAGCAAAAATCTACGTAAATATATGTATAGATAAGTAGATAGGTAGGTAGTGAATACAAATAATGCACCTTTTGTTGTTCGTTTGCACAACAGCCGAAACGTTTTGCAAATGTGCATCAAGAGGATGATGTTATTGAATAATAGTAAAAATTTGCATAAATGGAGGGTGGATGGGACGAGGTAGGGCGGGTCTCCACCCGCAGCAACCTCCCCGTGGTGAGACCTGGGCAATCGTTATTATTTGATGACTAATTAATAACTGTATCATTATTTCTATGACACATTTATTAATTATGCAGCAAATAATACGAGCAAATTGGCTGCGAAAATGCTTTTTTTTCTATTTAATCTCTGTTATATTTTTTTTTCAGGAACTACGCCTTTGAGATTCTGAAGTGTACCACATTGCAAATACAATTTTACGGAAAGAAAATAATAATTAATGCATGGTCAGTATTGTTTAATTGTGTACTTATACATATAGCTATCGTAGCATACACATGTCATTTAGGTGTATGTGAAAGGTGACGTAGTATAGTATGCCGTTAGTTGGATGCAATAACTGAGGTGGCGCTTCAATCAGTTTCTGTTCAGCTTAATTTTCGATCAAACATGGGCTGTTTTACCGATGCGGAATTTGAAGTTCGGCCTCGACACATATTAAACTTATTTAACTGAAAGTTATGGCTTTCACAAATAAAAATACACGTGATAAACTATAGAAATATCCTGTACCATAGACTGCCATAGGCACAATATAAAATATTTTATCTCTCGCGCGGTTTGAGAATAGTACCTCCAGTGACATCTTTCAGCAATCTGCAGAACAAAGTATCAACTTCATAATTCATAATGAGAATAAATGCAAATACATAATATATCCTTCTAATTCATTATGCATCATTGTAAAACATTTTATAAATGTCAATGAGACTCAAAAGTCTCTTATTTCTCAAAAAATACAATTCTCAGTTTCGTTAGTTTCACCACTCACCATAGGATAGCACTAGTGGTACCATTTTCAAAATCGCGCCTTGATATACAATTAAAAACGTATTAAAATATATACCTTTTAAGAAATATTTAGCTTATTAAATTCATTATTTTACAATACCATAGTGTCTTCTCTTAGTACTATATAAATTCAGTAGTTATAAAATTCTGATGAGGAAAGTAATCCTCCGGAACATGAGGGCCACAGTAGCCTCCCCAAACTTTAGACTCTCATGAAATAATTAGTTTATCCTTTGTTTTTGTCTGTGCTTAAAGTTACTCTCTGAAAATATATATGTAAATCTGTTCCACCACCAGTTTTGAATTATTACTACATCAGTAATGCAATTACTTGAATCATTCATCTTCATCCTCCTCCTCCTCTTCTTCCTCGTCCAATGCCTCTTCTTCTTCTTCACCTGAAAATGAAACTCAGGCTCGTGTAATTCAGCATAAAACCCACTATTTTTAATTGATTCTCTTACCCATTGGTAAAGGAGGTGGTGGTGGTGGCAATTTTGAAATTCGATAGGCCTCCTCCTCCTCGAAGGTGGGATCCTTAATCTCCATAATCTCAGGACCAACTTTGTACTGATCCTGGACAGGTGGCATCCATGGTGGGCTATAGTTGTAAGCGGTGTATTTCTGAGCCCATCCGATGTACAAGTTAGCGACACGCCTGCGAATCGACATCATTAAACTGACATTAGCGTCGTTTCCCGCGCATTAATTTCCCTCTAACGCGCCATAATTCCTTTCTTTCTCCGTTAGTTCGTCCTACGATAATATCGTTACCCTGGCGGGGTCATTGTACTCTGTTTCTTCGATACATAGCCAGGAATTTATATTCGTCGACCGCCATAAATATCGTAGATATCACGGGGCTGCTTAATGGAAAATCATTATTGAACACGAGCCAGAGTGCACGCACCTTCCAGAGGCGAACGCGAACGCTCCCGGCCAAATGTTCGATCGAATTAACGCGACAGCAAGGTCTGGCAGTATTCGAGAAGACTGCGTTCCTGTCCAAGGTGTTATTGTATCTACAACAGCATCCTCTGACAAGGGAGTTAAAAGGGGTGGTCCAACCTCTTTTTTAACTCCGCCCAACCCCTCTTCTTCTTCCCTTTCTTCTTCTTCGTCTAATTCCTCTTCCTCTCCCTAGAAATGATGTTTAGGAATAATAATTTCCAAAGCAAAACCAAAATACAAAATTTTCTTAATTCATCTTCTGTTATAAGTTTCGAAGGTTGAATGTGTTCTCTGACTAGCCTGATCATCGTCTCTTCGGGGATCCCACCAAACAATCCGACCTTGTTTTAAAATATAAGGAGCATGGTGACACCAGTTTGACATAGAGGGGTCGATCAAGTCCTTAATAGGTCGAGGATCGTAGTGCACATTCTCAGATAGTGCTCCTGCTATACTTCCAAGGAAAAAAAATTCACTACTTCCATAATATCTTCTCGTTATTTAAAGAATTCTAGAGTATTACTTTCTGCAACTTCCTCTCCCAGTTCCTCCTCTTCGTCTTCTCCGCCAAAGGTGTAGAAGCCAATCGGCGAAACCAACGTAGCTGCGCTAATCCTGGCTATTTGAGCGCGGAGATAATTTTTTTCCTTTCCCGGAAAAGGTGGGAAAGTGTAAAACTGCAAGAAAAACAGTCAGGTTTAAGCGTTTCCGAATAACGTCCTCGGTAACGATTACGTACCGGTGTATCTAAATTTCCGGTGCAATAGCGAACAACCTGTCGTGCAATTACTATCTGCTGGGGAGTAACTGGTGGAAGTTCGATCCACTTGTCCAAACCTGGTTCGTTGCATACAAAATACACCTGGAACAAAGTGGGTCATCGGGTTTGATGGAAACATGCACCGTGTTTTGCATTGCATATTAACCTCTTCCGATATAACGCACATTTATTATTGTTTAAGATTTAACATAATGTTTCTGGTTCAATTTATATCTGTTTTTTAGATAAAAGATTTTTCGAGTTTATACTTTAGTATTCACTCCACTTCCTATTCTCTCTGAAGGTACTTCCGGTGGCGGTTTCCACGAATGAGTAGGCAGGGGTGGAAAGACAAGCTTTAATCCCTCCTCTTTTTCGTCTGTTGCTTCAGCTTCTTCAGCATCTCCCTCTGCTTCTTTTTCTACAGTTTCAGTAGTTTCTTCTGCAACTTTCCTCGCTTCTTCCGCTTTAGCTTCCTCTTCCTGCCGTTTCTGTTCTTCCTCTTCTGCTATTTTCTATAGGCACGTTAACGAGATTCAGAAAATGTTTTGCTTTCTCTTCGAGGTAGTTAATTTTAACAATATTTCAGATGAATTTTCTACAATTTCATGTTATGAAATTTTGTACACTTCCGAATTATACTAGCCTGTAGTCTGCTATTCAATTCTTCCGGTTGCAGATCTGCCTCCACTACGTAATAATTTTTTGGGTTTCCAAGGATTTTTCCCCAAAATCTGTGACCAAAAAATCTGTCATCCTTGAAATTTGCCACTTATGATATATTTTGTATGTACCTGACGTTTTCTATAGGAGCTTCGCTCATAAGTTTTCTAATAGATAAATTAAGCACCACCATCTCGCTACGAGGTAATCCCACATTGGTTTGTTCAAAATAATATAGAAGATCCAACATATTTGGCTTCTTTTTTCTCTTGTCTTCTTCTCCTTCTTCCTCTTCTTCACCCTGCCTCTCTTGTTCACCTGCATCCATACCTTGCACATCCTACAATTGCAGCAAGAAAGATCAAATTCTTATTAAAATATCTGAATCATTAATTCTATTTCGATTATCCATACTTTGAACAGCTTTATGAGGTTCTTGGCTTCTTTATACTGCACGGGTGGTACGTATAAATCCCGAAGATGATTATCTTCAGTTTTAAACCTCTCTTCCTTCACTTTCCTGCTGATTTCTTCGAAAATATCCACCACATTCCTTGGTCTCTCAGCGAGTATCTTAGCTAACACTTCCGTCAAGTGATCGTAACTATGATCCATAGAAAATTGTTCGTAAGCGGATTTGAAGTGTTATCAAATAATGGGATAAACTTGTAACATGTTATTTAATACTTTGACGCCTACAACTTCATATTTTTCAATTGATTTTTATAATGAAAGATAAATTACCGAGATAATTATGTTTCAGAGCTTTCACTATATACACTGCAAAATTATTAATTTTTTAAATGATAATTTTTCAATGAATCGAATCTGTCAACTCACAGACTATCACCTGACTCTGGACTATGTTTCTGCAGATACTTTTTAGCTCTTCTTATATCATGATCGATGCAGGGAATGTCATCTGGTGGTACCTCTTCGATATTATAACTATACGCCATTTTAATATCAATTTATTTTCACCCTCAATGCATTTCAAGAATACAATCTATACATCCCTCATTATATATCCCCAGTTTTTATCATCCGTCGAGAACGTAATTGGAACTCTAATATCCTGTCATCGTAACACAAAAAGCATCGCGTATCGCTGACAGACGATGTCGATCCTCTTCTATTTTTTTCTCTTCTTTTATTTTCAACGCATAATCAGCATCATTCATCCGTTTCAAAGGCGTAGCTTCATCACTACCGTTTCGAAAGCGTTATCTAATGACCCAAATATATTAACGAACCCAAAACGTTCCCTAATCAACTCGAAATTAATTAAACCTACCTCGATGATAAGCGTGTCTCTTTTGATCAGCCTGATTTCTGTTTCCTGGAACGATGAACTACGGAGATAGGAAATGTCGCATATATCATTTGTATCTCAAATAATAAAAAAGTCAGTATGATTATTCTAAGAATAAAAAGATTCACCAATATTTTATCACGTGAAAAAGAATAACTTAGCGCATATGAAAAAAAAAAATTATTACAAGTAGATCCTTACATGCAGATGGAAATTTGAAATTTACATTAATCAACAAATTTTGGTTTAAGAAAATTTCTTTTGTTAGAAAAATTGTTCGGTATTGTAAACTTTGAATTTGTGTAAATTGTATAAACATGTAAATCCAGCTTGAAGACGAAAGAATGAATGTACGACTGACATGAATGGCCATATCTATCTGAATGAAATTAAATCGCACGCGCCGCTTTCTATCAGGCTGCATCCTGGAGCACGATTATCGTCTATCGTTTGCCCTAAATAGAAACGTTGATTCTCGAGGTCACTAGCTGCTTCCTCTGACGCCCATCCCTCGTTCTGTGCAATAGGACACGTGTCCTTCCTTCGGAAAAAGTGATAGAGAACGGGTTGACTTGATTTTCTATCCTCAAAGAAGTTCATATATCAATTTGATTCAGCTTTGTAGCACAAATTTCATTCGATTTCAATTAAATTCGCAATAATTGAGCAATAATTTGCGAGAACTGTAATTAAACTTCAAAGTTCTCGCGCACAGCGGAAATACAAAATTACGCAACGAAAATTACAGAACTGAAAATAACTGAGATTGTACAGTCACCGAAAAGGTTTTGAAATTAGTTCAACGAGAGGAACTTAACGAACTTACAAGCGTTGAACTTCCAGAGAACACTTCACTAAAATATCTACCCGCTTATTTAAATAAATACACCGCTCCCGTCGTTCTCAATGAAAATTTACGAACGAGATCACGTTTGTTTGGACAGCCCCTTTTTAGAAATGTTTATTTGCCTCAACACGACTAATTTCTCTTGTTACGTGTACCATGATTTATTTCATACGATTTAACATTAGCAATTTCATTTCAGCACTTAACAAATTAATAACTTGGTAAATATTTCAAACATTCAAATTATGATCATTTATCATATTGCAAAATTTATTGAGGATCAATATTATTAAAACCACTCGAGTGAAATAAATGGTAATATTTGTAAAATTTGCAATATTGTCAATATTATGAAAATGATGTAAACTGAGTAATATACAACGCGTCATTTAAACAGTTTTATTTTTAGATACACGTTACATACTCGTATCGTAATGAATCACATTGAGATATGACAAACAAAGATAAGGTGCATCAATGCAATCTTCGCAGAATATTAAATTTTCCATTTTTCCTCGTTGGAAATAAAAACTTATTACGTTGAAAAGAATATGCGTCAATATTGTGAACACCAAGTTTCATATGGTTAATGTTTACAAATATTCCTACAATATTTAACATTATGCATCATTTTTGTTGTTTTGTTTGCAAGATGCAGCCACGTTTGATCTCGTCGATCAAAGCGTATGCCAGCAGCTGCATGTTTACAGTTTTATGTAACGCTTGACAATATCCTGAGCCACGAGTCTCAGTTCAACAACCTCGATCTTCACTTTATAATGTTGCTCCAAAAGCTTTTTAACAATTCCGATTTTCAAAATACTTCCAATCGCACCTATATCATTTATAATATTTGTTATGAAACTGTTGTTCATTTAATTTTCTCAGCGGTGTTGCTGTTAACGCGAAATCAATGGTATCGCACAATTTCAGCTTCGGTCTAACAATTGGCGTGTACCAATTAACTGGACGCAATCGCATTCGATAATCGGGCATCCGCGGTTTTGGAATCGCAGGGATTATAGAAATTCGCGGTGCTATCAGTTAGTCGGACGTGCGACTCGATTTATCATCGAGCGAATTCGTCAGCTAAAAATCGATCAGTTAGAGGGGTTAAACCACGGCACGTGGTGGATTTTCGACGATCGAATCGCTAATAATCCGAGATTTCGCAATTTCGCGAACGATATAACAGGTGCTACCTGCGAGGGAGCAACGCGCACGCGACAGAGATGTGACCGTCGTTGATTAAATATCAATAATCGAAATGGGAAGCCGGCGAAATGAAACGCAGAATTTAACAAACAATTTATACGATTTCATTTATTCGGTAGTTGTAGTTAATAATGAAAATGTGTAACTGTCAAGTACATTTGTGTATTTTAAATGTATCAGATTCTTTATCTTTTTTCTATATAACAGTATCGTTACTTTTTGTGTTCTAGATAGTATGAAATATGGTGTCAGATTATTTAAATAACATCTCTAAATTTTGTTACACCGCTGCTGAAATTTCTCTTTTGCATTTGATACTTTATTAAAATTTTATATTTATGAAGATCAGATTTTTAATTAAATTCAGCTTATCGACAACTATTGGCAGGTAACAATCAAACTCGCTGAGATACTCGAATGTTACCCGATTATCAAATGTTAAATTTTCAAACACTTTACCGCCTTACCGACCGACATCGAGAAACATCGATACAGGGCGCGATCGATATTTATCGATGGCGCAGTCAGCGGCGCCACCTTCGGTATGAAATCATGCCGCGACTGTGCTGGACGTTGTTTCGATCGCGGCAGTTCGTTAATGAGTGATAATTAGCAAAACAGTGTGTTGATTAATAAAAGGTGCGCGATCAGGCGTCGATCGAACTCCGGCGAAATTGAATCGCTCGTTCCAATTACCAAATGTGCGTTAATGTTCCCTCGGTAATCGCGTCCGACAAATTTGGTGCGTCGTTTCCATTCTCTAACATGACATTCGTATCTGCTACCATGATCACGGTATATTTTCATTCATATTTTCCTTATACAATTCTTTTTTTTTTACTTATATTTACTTATATTTTATCAATTTTAATTGTCATTGCAGTATGATTATGAAAGATGCTGTTTTACAAGATAGCCGTCAGGTGACACTTCAGTAATATTGGCGGGAAATGGTTTCTATGCTACATGAGGTGGATGGTGAGTTATTTTTTTTTTGTTAATTTTATAATAATAAAAGGTCTATGTGTATGCATTAGATATTTTAATGCTTTATGGTTACTAATTAATTAATAATAACACCCGTTAAACGATTAAATAAAAACAAAGAGGGTCTCAATGAATCACATCTTGTTTAACTGATCAAGAACAAGCAAAGTGCAGTAAATTCGTTAATCAGTCAGCGTTGGTCGTACATCGAATGAACGAGGCACTGGTTGCAATTTTGCGGGGGCGTTTAAGTATGAATGAGTAAGAAGCCCCCACCATTTCATCTTCTCCCTTCCACTCTCTTCTCTGGATCTTTACTTCTTCTCTTTCGATCCTCCACCCTGTCGCTACTTTTCGTTATTCCATCTCCTTCTCTCTGTTTCACTCTTCTACTCCCCGCTTTGCCTCTCGACAAACCGAAAGCGGCAGTTCTCGTATCGGGGGTCGGTTCTCTCTTCGTGGTCCGCGCTTCTTTCGGTCAGTTTCTTCCCGCGAGTTGCACGCGCGTGTCCTTCCGCGAGGATTCGACTCGGTGTTGCTCTTTCGTTGAGGATTCAACAGGAATTATCGGGATAAAGGAGATTTATCGTTGAGGATTCCCGCTGGACGGGGTGCTATCATCCATCACGATGCGCCGTCGATGCACACGGTTAGTCACAATGGATCAGTTCTCTTTGTTTACCTGCGTTTCAATTGTTTCGTAATCGCCGATTAACCGCGAACGCAACGTCTATGAAATTAATTATTTCATTCTTCTTTCCATATAATATTGATATTTTGATAGAACGATGAGAGTGAGATTCGAGTTGGAATTCAAACTCACAGCCACGTTGATTAATTATTGCTTGGCTTTTCGAAGTCCCTGTTAATGGGAACGTTAATGTATTCGTGGCAGTGGAAACTTCGATCTTAATGATTTAGCGTGAATGTTTTCGATACGTTAATTGGTCATTTCTAAGAAGAGTGTTCAATGTTTTCGTCGTTTAAAAAACAAGACCAAAGATGAAATGTAAGAATGGTATAATTCATTGTAGATTGGAATTAACGTAGCGACTGAAAGGGAACCTATCAAAATTTAATTAATATAACGTGGTCAAATTTTTTACGTCACAGCTTTTAGCTCTGTTCGGTTCTCCTTCTGGTTTGATAGTTTGCGTATTCCATCAAGGGGAATCGTGTCGCTCGCTGCTATTAAGGGGCTATCCACAGAGCACGCTTTACATTATTCATCGGCCATTTCAACGCGCGTACCGACCGATCGCTCGTAAATCGCGAGCTCACTTTTCATTAAGACGTCCACAGCGCGAGTGAATGAGTCGCTGAATGAATTTCCAGAACCATTGCTCTTCCTGTCCACTCGCCCTTGAACGGTGCACTTTGCGCACTGGGTCACAGCTGCTAAAATAGCTCCGCCTTTTCTATATTGTTTAAGAATTATTTTACTTGTTCAGTAGTTTGTTTTTTAAATGAAAGATGTATGGATTTATTTTGGAGAGGTTTCCGTTGATTTTAGAAACAGCTGAGTTGTTTGAGGTTCTTTCATTATAAATTAATGACAGTAATTACGCTTTTAATTTTTCAATTTTATTGATCAGAATATTCTGAGAAACAGCGGAAAATAGTTAGCTTTTCCGAGTTTCATTATGTTGATACAAGGGGCAAAGTTTTAGGAGCAAAGTAGCTTAGTTTCTAAGTGCTTTCCAGCTAACTAACGGATAAATGAACAACGATCCTCAGGAATTTATGGTTATCGTGTTCCCAGCTCGCCTTAATTGTTTTTCAAACTTCTTTCTCCCATCAGCAATTAATTTTTCATTTTGAAAAATTACCATAATATTTATAAAAACTCGGGAAATTTCCTTACTTGACTCTGATCTTTCAGATGTTCAAATTCCTATTTCTAAATCGTAGCAGTGCCGTAATACTGTTTGGATCACCGACTCGTCAGTTTGAGACGCGAAAATAACCGCGAGTACTAGTCGTTTTGCTATACGCTCGAATGTCAGTTTGACTTAAGTTATGTCCCGTGTTTCGCTATGCGGAATCCCTCTTTCAAAGCGCGTGTGGTCTAGACGCCCGGAGAGATCAGAGTGATTATCGATCTATTGATAAGCAGGTCCCCAGCTCAT